TACGTGATTCCCACACTTTTCACATATTGTAACAAAATTACTTCCGGAAAAACATTTATTTATATATAGTATTGTTAATGACGCATTAAATTTTAATTTCGGGTTTAGTAACCGAACGAAATTAATTGTTAAAAATATTTCGTTGTATTGAGTTTAAAAATGAGGGAAGCATAATTATTCTTTAGAATTATAATATTATAGGTATACTTAACTATTTTCCTAAGCGATAACAAAGTAAGTAGTTACAGGCCAACTATTTATTTTATTAAAATGTGAAACATCTTTTCTTAATATGGGCCCGAGCTTTACCAGTAGAGAGATCCTCAGTCACTTTTCGCATGTTGTGATTCCCAGGTTCCATGTTTAGTACCGTCGATATGTACAACTTTTTTAAAAGATATAGAGATACTTACTAACATAATATATTTTATAAACAAGGTCATCCTTTAGTGATTGTACAAAAAGAAACAGTAGATTCGACAGTTTAAAATATTATGATTTACTCCAACATGCTTTAATAAAATATTGATAGATACCTACTAAGAAAAGTCCAAGGTGTTTAAACGGAAATTTAAAATTTTATTTTTCGCTGTATCTTTTATGTCTGTGAAAATTTATGCAGACAATTTTACATCTGGGTGCTTTTGACTATGAGAAATTAAAATTTAATGCATAAATTGATGTAGCTGATAGAGGGCGCCACCTATACTACATATCGATGGCCTAACTGTAATAACCCGTATATGAAATAAGTGAATTTTACAGGAGAGACAAAATATAATTTTATACAAAATAATGAATGAACACAAGACTTGTTTCTTGACCTTAAAATGAATAATTTCATTTTTTAGTGAATAAAAAAAGAAAAAGTACATTTTTCAGTATTTTGAGTTTTTTGGTGTAGATACGGGGTATTGTCAAAAATGTTGTAACATAAATTTTAGATACGGGTTTTTAGTATTAATTTAACAGGTAGTAAAAACAAAAAGTAAATTGGTACAAAACAAGTTTATTAGAAGTTACAAACATGTAAAGTAAAACAGTAAAAAAATATGTAACTAAAACTTTAAAGGAAAATTAAGTTTAATAAATATATCTTTCTAAAAACAAATAACTAAACTAAAAACTTTTAAGATATCTAACTAAATCTCATTACATATATATATATATATATATATATATATATATATATATATATATATATATATATATATATATATATATATATATATATATATATATATATATATATAAAGGAGTACGACCATCAAACAATTATTCAATGCAGTAAGTTTCAAAAGAAAAATTTTTTTGATCAACGAGGATATCGGTCAAAGGAGAAATAATACAAGGAAATCACAGTTCCATTCTTATATTTGAAGACGTTTCGCTTGTGGTGTTCACGAGCTTCGTCAGTTCAAATCTAAAAAATATTACAATGATGGTAGGTAATATTATACAAAAACATGGAAAATTAACTTACGAATGTAGAGTGAAGAATAAAAGGTGTTAAACAAACACACCATTCCCTGTGTTAACTGTGGTCAAAACATTAAATTTTTGGTAAAATTGTAGCTTGAAAGTTTCTGTGTAGTAGCATTCGTGTTTTTCAAAGCGAAAAAATTTGATTTACAAATGAACGACAGAATAAAAAACTACTACCAAGCTTACTAAAACGACGAGTTGACAAAATATTAGATCGTTATCATCAATCAGCCAATCGCGTCCACTGCTGGACATAGACCTCCCTCAGTTTTTTCCAGTATTCTCTACACTGGGCCGCTTGTAGCCAGTTTTCCGCTACACGTTGTATATTATCGGTCCATCTAGTCGGTGGTCGTCATCGTCTTCTTTTATAGTTTCTGGGTCTCCATTCCATAATACGTCTTGTCCACCGTTCATCTTGTATTATGGCTAAGTGCCCTACGAAGTTCCACTTAAGCGTCGTGGTTCTTTCGATGACTTCTTGAACTCGTGATCTTTGCCTGATTTGTTGGTTTGTTATATGGTCTCGAAGGCTCACGTTCAGCATTGCACGTTCCATAGCTCGTTGTGTAGTTCTGAGTTTATTCGCAGATTTTTGAGTGAGTGTTAAAGTCTCTGCTCCATAAGTTGGTACAGGTAAAACACATTGGTTATAAACCTTTCGCTTGAGACACATGGGAATTGAACTTTTTAGAATATGGCTTAATTTGGCAAATGCGGGGCCCATGTTAGGCCTATTCGTCTCTGTATTTCATGTGTTTGATTGTCTCTGCTTATTTTGATTTCGTGTCCCAGATATTTGTAAGTGTCTGTTTGTTGTCTGGTTTTATTGTCAATAGTTATATTTCCCCTCATTACGAGATTTGTTATAAGTTTAGTTTTTTCAAAGTTTATTTTTAATCCTGCTCTTTCAGACAGACTTTTAAGCGAATGCATAATAGAAAGTGTATCATGTAAGTTATCTGCGATTAATACACCATCTGCAAATCTTAGGTGATTCAATCTTTCTCCATCTATATTGATGCCCATATCTTACCATCGAGTGCTCTTAAATATTGACTCTAGAGCTACCGTGAACAATTTTGGTAAAATATTGTCTCCTTGTCTAACTCCTCGACCAAAGCTGAATTTTTCTGTGTCTTCGTGTAGTCGTATACTTGATGTAGAGTTCTCGTAGATGTTTTTGATTAGTGTCGTGTACCTGTAATCTATTCGGCTTTAATTTAAGGCTTCCAGTATTGTTTCAAACCCTACAGAATCAAAAGCCTTCTTGTAATCGACAATGCAAGAACCAGTGGTATGTTGTACTTGATGCACTTTTCTGTTAAGATCTGTATGGTATGCAAATGGTCATTTGTACCATATCCTGCCATGAAGCCTGACTGTTCTTTGGGCTACTAGAAATCAAGTTTAGGTGTTAGCCTCTTTGTTAAGATTTTCATAGAGAGTTTGTACATATGTGTCAAGAGGCTGATGGGTCTATAATTTTCTAATTTAGTAATATCGCCTTTTTGTGTAACAAGACTATTACTGCATTGTTCCAGTCTTTTGGAATCGTACGCGCATGTAAGCATTTATTAAACAGTTCGCTTACTGATTTTAGTAAAATTTCTCCTCCTGCTTTTATTGCCTCGATAACGAGTCCACGCGATCACCAGGCGATCGATGGTTCTTCATTTCCTTTAAAGCTGCTCTTACTTCTGAAACATTAATGGGTAAAATATTTCCGATCCCTGATTTATGAGAGTCTTTATCGTGTCGGGAAATTGTCTTGTAGTCTTTGGCTGGTACAGAGGTCTTTATAAAACTCTCTGGTTATTTTCAGAATGTTTTGTTTATCTGTTGTTGCCTCTCCGTTTTTATCTCTCAGCTTGTATATTTCTTTTTTACTTTGTGTGAGTTTTCTTTTCATTATCTTTAAACCTTTGTTCTCTTCTACTGTTTGAGTAATTACATTAGTATTATATCTTCTTATATCTTTTCTAATTTCCGCCGAAATTCTTTTATTTAGTTTTTTATATTCTTCTTTGTTTCCCTTTTCGTTCTCGCTTAGGTTTCGTCGTATTTCCATGAGAGTTTTTGTATTTTTGCTTATTTTTGCACGTTTGGTGTCATTTTTCTTGCAAAATTTAAGTTGTGCGTTTCTAACCGAGTCTGTTATTAATTTATTGTGATAGTCGATACATAGAGGTTTGGGATTATCACTCTGTACTTTGTATTGTATCACTACAATATATATATATATATATATAATGACAACTTTAGAAACTACGCCATCAATTCTTATCGCTACACAAAGCATGGGGGTCCCATGCTGAAAGCCATTTTAACTCCTAAATTTGTTTTAAATGCTTCCTTTTTTGCTGTTAGACAAAAAAAATGAAAATTTGCCGTTTTTGACCTTAAATTGTTATTAACTAATTAATTCTAAAAAATCGACTGCAGAAAACATATAGGTCCTTTTTAAAAAGGTCGTACCACTCAAAATAACTGTCGTTTGCTTGGTCTATTTAGTGTCACAAACAGGGTACTTTTTTACTTACTTCACTGGTCTAATAGTATATAAAAATTGAAATAGTTTGTGATCAAAAAAGTTGCTTTTTTGGATAGAAAACACGAACAAATAAATAATTGGAGTATACAAAAGTGACCGATGTATCAACGGAAATAGCAAAACTTAAGAGAAAGTTCGCCGGACATACCATAAGACAGAAAGACGACAGATGAAATAAGGTGATTATACACCGAAGACCATATAGTTACAAACGAAAAAGAGGAAGGCCACAAATGAGATGGTCAGATGACTTGAAGAAACCACGCAGGCCCGAAGTGCATACAGAGACGTGAAAGGAGGAAGAGGCCTAAGTCCAACATTGGACAGCAAGGGCTGCATAGATAAGTAGATAGAGACTGTATACATATAAAAATATTTCAAATTTAGTAAAATCATAAAGATTACACAATTGTTGAAGTCCTCATAACAGACAATTAAGTATAATAACACTAAGTAAAATAAATTAGACCAAAGAAAAGTTACACAACATCCAAAAATTCTTTCTTATTAACGTATATCATGGACTTACGCGAAAATATTTATTTGTCATCTATTTAATTTACTTTATTATTTGCTGCTATGTTTGTATGACGTCGATAACCAGTAAAGTTGTAACTTCTGCGCATCTCATATATCCAAAATAAAGACAAAACCACTAACCACTTTAACTTAACTTGCATTTTAACTACCCTCAAAATTATCATAATCCTTTAATCCATACTACTGTGGCTGTTCCTTTTTACATACGTTCCATACTTCTTCAAGAACCTTTTTTATTGATATTACTTTTGAAATATGTATTTACTTTTTTATTTTTTTATTTCTATTCATAGTTAATTTATTCTCATTGGTACCAGGTTTATCATGTATTTTCATAAGCTTTACTATTGTTAATATTTGAATTGTTTAGTCTGCACTTTTATTTGTTTTTAGTAGTCAATTGTTTATATACCTGTTTTAGTTACTGCACAGCCAATATGTTTGCCAGAACCTTGGTCCGTCACGAGTAATAACGCACTTTTGGTTGGATGGGGTAAGGCTGCAGGTCAATCATGTAAGTAAATTTATAAAATATTTTGGGAACGAAAGATATACTCTAAGCATAATGTACATTTCTGCTTCTTAGAAGGTGTTGTTTAATGCTACCTGTATATCGAGAAATGCACCTATTATCACCTCTTAGATTTTCAGAACGTATTCACCCTCTGCACAAGATGGTGCGGTGTCATTTTCTTAAAGATTCCTGCTCGATACGCATTTTGTCACTGATGTATCGGACTTTCAACCAATACACCATCTCTAGTGTTCTAATCAATACGTATACGAATATATATATATATATATATATATATATATATATATATATATATATATATATATATATATATATATATATATGTATATATATATATATATATATATATATATATATATAAAATGGCCAACTATATGGCCTAGGAGACAAATTCGTTAAACTTCCCGTGCTCGAATTGGTATCACTAAAGTGTTATGATCATTTCGGCTTATCCCAACCATCGTCAGACACTTGGGCTGATACAAATTCAAACTCGGAAAGTAAAACGAATGTCTCCCAAATCTTTACTACCGTGTAGTTAGCTTATAAAGGCGCCCCCTACTTTGAAGGCCGTGAACGAAACGATATGAATAATCGTTTTATGTATCCTTTATGCTATGCGAAATGTGTAAAGAATTAAATCTTTTAGCGAAAGCTATATATATATATATATATATATATATATATATATATATATATATATATATATATATATATATAGGTATATATATAATATATATATATAAATATTACATAACTATTATATATATATATATATATATATATATTATATGTATATATATTTTGTTTATATAATTTTGTTAACTCTCCAAATAAAATTTTTTTGGTATAAAAAAATGCTGCTAACATATTTCAAAAATTATTAATATAAAAATAATAATAAGCCTCAATGTCATAAATACCAACTTAAAATTCGCATTTTGGCAATTAATTTTCCAAAAATAAAATTTTATTTAAAAATTCTTTTTTTGTTTATTTATTATTTTTGGCAATTTTTTTGAGAGTTAACATTTTTTTTTTCTTTCTAGTTCAACTTTGTAAGATATTTTGTATTTTTTAGCAGCTCTTGATAATAATTGTGAACACAATTAAAAACTAGAGTAAAAAATAGTTAGCAAATAGCCCCTTTTATTGACTCCAACCCATCCAAAACAGTTTTATATAAACAATAAAGTTTATTAGGGCTGAAGTCAGAAGTTGGGCCAGGTTATTACAGAAACACTCTTTTGACTTTTGGTCTAGCTTTCGGAATTGGTTTATTCCTTTTTCAAGACATACCTAGTCGTTGAGGTAATTTATATAAAGCTTTGACACTCAACATTAATAACACACATATAAAATATAACATATAAAATAATTGACAAAATACATTTTATAATTTAGTTACAAGTAAAAAAGGATAGTAAAACTTCGTTTGTGATATCTTTTAATGGTTTTAATAACATTCGTTTGTGACATTAAAAGATGCCACAAACGAAGTTTTACTATCCTTTTTTTAACTAAATTTTAAAATGTGTTTGTCAATTATTTTGTATGAGAACTGATGCAGCTGCTGAATTAGATATACTTACTAGTGGGGCTGGAAAGAAGTCTCTAGGACCTGCGTCAACCCCTGGAAGCATTGTGCCTAATGGCTCTACAGAGGAAGAAGGAAACAAGAAAAATGCAGAATCAGGAGGAAATGGTAATGGTGAGGCAGGTCCTCTAGGTGTAGATTTCAGTGCTACAGATTGTTAGAAATATAGTGCATTTAATATACAGAGATGAACATCTAGATTTTATGCAACAATGGATTAGAAGATTTTGCCTTTAGTATGGAGCAGCACTATTTTACACAAGTGCAAAAGAAGAAAAAAATTGTGATGTGTTGTACAAGTACTTAACTCACCGCATCTATAATTTCCCCTTTCATACTCCAGCTCTTGTGGTAGAAAAATTTGCAGTATTTATACCAGCTGGTTGGGATAATATGAAGAAAATCAATATTCTGTATGAAAATAATAAGCATTCTTGCAAGCCAGATGACTACTATAGAGATGTAATTGTACAACCAGTAACTAGGAAAACTATCAACAGAGAAACTGAGGTGATAGCAGAGGATGAACAAGCATTCTTAACAAGACAACAACAGATTTCATTTGGAGGAGGACCACCAACTGTAAGACTAGGAGAATCCCCATTGAGACCACCTCTTGAAGGTATACAAGTTTCTCCTAGAAAGCTTAATGGTTTAAAGGTTTTTAGTTCACCAGAAGGAGAAGGTGTTTTGGCTAATTTCTTCAATTCACTTTTCTACAAAAAAACTGGCTCCCCTGAAGGGGGTATGGCCAAAACTTCTGGATCAGAGAGTTTGCCTGATAAAGCTACCGTTAGAACTGATGCAGCTGCTGAATTAGATAGACTTTATAGAGGTGCTGGAAAGAAGTCTCTAGGACCTGCGTCAACCCCTGAAAGCATTGGGCCTAGTGGCTCTACAGAGAAAGAAGAAAACAAGAAAAATGCAGAATCAGGGGGAAATGGTAACGGTGAGGCAGGTCCTGTAGGTGTAGATTTCAATGCTACAGATTGTTAGAAATATAGTGTATTTACTTATTTTATATGTTATATTTTATATGTGTGTTATTAATGTTGAATGTCATAGGTTTATATAAATAATCCCAACGACTATGTCTTGAAAAAGGAATAAAACAATTCCGAAACCTAGACCAAAACTCAAAAGAGGGTTTCTGTAACATCCCGGCCAAACCTGTGACTGCAGCCCTAATAAACTTTGTTATATCGACAATATATATAGATGCCCATCGATATACCTTTTTGTACATGATTTTTGGAACATGATATAAATACCTAGTTGATAAAATTCCTCTACAAATAGTAAATGCCTTTCAGATGCCTTGCCAAAGCAGCAAGTTCTGCAGTTACCAATAATTAGTCTTCAACAATGCGTTCAATTGTATGGTAGAACGCTGTCAGTAACAGACGACCAGTTGTGTGCTGGAGGAGAAGCTGGAAATGATGCATGTAGCGGATTTGGAGGTGCTCCTTTGATAGTTCGACATGGTAACACACATTATCAGGTACGTGACAAACGTGATATACTTTTACGTAAATCTCAAAAAATAAGTATCTTTTAACTATTAAATAATGAGTGGTAAAACAGAGTGGTCAAATACTCCACAAACAAATCTACTATAACATCATTAAGTATTCGACTGTGTCAGTTTTATTAGTATTTAGGCAATAGAGTGCTTAAATTTAAATAAACGAAAATTGCTTATAATAATTATAACTTCAAATTACAATTTACTTGTATACTTTGTATAAAACTACGGTATTAGTTAGGTTTGTTCCGTATCAAATCGTTAAATATGTCGTTACTAATTGTTGGCTTCAGTTTGCGAAATATTAAGTGACAAAAAAAACAGAATTATTATAATTCCAGACCGACAGAAACTGAAATATACCAAAGAAAATTATTTTAAATAATGTACAGTCGATAACAAGACAAAAAATTTATAAGACACAAGTTTTAAGGAAAATTAACATTTAATTATGATTTTGCATGCTTTTCAGCCAATATTACAATAACCAAAAATGGAAATTTAAATAAAATAATATTAATGTTAAAATATTAGGAATTTCAAAGTGACAACACTTTTGCACAAGGAAAATTGTTCATTACTACATATTTAGTATCAGAATTTTAAAGTTACAACACTTTTGCACGGAGAAAATTTTAAAAAGTGTAGATACATTTACTGTTAGTTATTGTCCTCTTCTCGTATATTATCTTGGGACCAAATTGTTTATAAAATCTGTGGTGGGCTTCTGGTATTATACCCGAATGGCATAAGTATATCAAACCTTTTTTAAATCGTAATTCCCGGGGTTTGTTATGTACGTTTAATAAATTCTTTAGTATTTAATATTTCTATAGTAGGATCGTTTTAGCCTGTCGCATAAGTAATAAAGTGTCTGTTCAGATTTGCCTCAGGTAGTCAGCGGTTCTCAAATTAAAAATGTAGGGTTTTCTTAATTGGATAATACATTAGGAATTTTTTTAATAAAATAACTTTGTATTATGTTTAATTATAATTGAATATCATAATGTAAATTGATACACATTAAGTATGAAATATACAGGGTCATTCACGCAACATGTTGGTTAAAAATTTTTAAAGTTCTGGTCGTCACTGGTTTCTGCAAACTAGAAATAATGGGTTATGCAAACCATTCTTCATTTTTTAAATATTTGCATTCTTCTAGCACTTCCGGTTGTACCGGAAGTCGCCAATAAGTTTCCTATTTTAAATACAAACTGTGCTTTGTGTTATTTTTTTTTAGAATCTACGTAAAATTCTAGATCGATTTTTATTGGGATGCCATTCTCGAAAAAATAGCCGTTTTCGAGATATTTAAGGTTTTTGAAAAATTTTTCATATTACACATGCAACTTCAAAAATTAATATTGTGGTTAATATTTATGATGAAAAAACAAAAATTCTTTTTTAGCGTGTACTAAACTCTATTTTTATTTAAGCATAAAAAAATTTGCCAATGTTAATACTGGGTGTTCAAAATTTTGTATTATATTTTTATTTTTATATATTTTATAAATATATCTATAAAAATATATATCTATATAAAACAAAAACTTATTCCTACTTCCCACATACATCTTCCCAAACCCACCGAGGTAGGTTGTCGTCCTGCGGTACAACGAGCCCCGGCTTTCCTCTGCCCCCTGGTCTTTGGAGTCAGGTCTTGACTATTTCGCGGTATCTCCCGTCAGGCAATGGGAGATTTCCATGTATTTACATTTAAGTGGTAGGTTAGCCCATTTGGCTTTATCACTACCGGTCAAAGCAATTGTTCGGCGATCTAATGATGGTGATACATCTTAATCTATGGACAGGCATCATCACTATCTGACTCGCTATCCGATTCATGTGAATCTTCATCTGTACGAATAATTAAAGGTCCTACTTCATCAACAACTTGTTGTATTTCATATGACTCTATTTTTTTTAATACATTTCCGCCATTGTGCTTCATTGACTTGGTTTAGTGCATCTTGCCAGAGTTGTAAAACGCTGGCTTCGTCGGTGGTCTTACCTGCATGTTTATCATAGTAGTTTTTAGTGATGCCCCACACCAATTCAATTGTACTGGCAGTGATATGGTGGTAGTCTTAGGACCTTATGACCATATTTTACTGCCATTTGGTCAACGACAAATGCTTTCTCAGTAATGTGATATTTGCACTTATTTATTAATTCAGCTTTTAAAACTAGACGTTCGTGTTCTATGTTTTTCACCGACAGCCACTTTCTTAATTCTTCTTTTTTCCAGCTGCTTGTGGGAAACTTTTCCTCCTTTCTGGTGTGATAAGAAGCATTGTCTAAGACTATTAATAACGCATTTTCCAGATTTTGTAATAATTTTTCCTCAAACCAATGTTCAAAAATATCGGCGTCCATATTTCCGTGGTAATCATCAGTTTTGTTGACGAAGAAAATATAAGACTAGCATTGGGTATAAAACATTCCGTATTTCCTGCATGCAATAGAATATATCTTTTGACATTACTCCCACTAGTACTCGAATAGCGTTTGATAAAATCATCTTGCCAGGATGATTTGGTATTATTTCCTTTCGCAAAAATCCATGTTTCGTCAAGAAACACAAATTGTCTGGTAAATTCGGAATTCTTGTTTTTTAAATGGTTTCTTATAAATGTCCACCTGTTTTCAACAACATTGGACAGCTTGCACAACACTTTACGATTATTGTTTTTTTTGTATCTAAAACCCATAGCTTTTAATATTTTTGATAAACTGGAAACCCATATCACAAAGTTCTCTGTCCTTTATTTTTTGAATAAGTGTCTTTCTTGTACCATGTTCTTTTGCATTGTACATAAATGATATTTCTGATTGAGATTTAATTACTTTGTGGCAAGTCGAGGGTTTTCGGTTGCAAACGAATCCTTTTATTTTCCTTACTTAATTCCTCCTCACTCATTTTGCGAACTCTTTGCAAGGTCCGTTCTGAAATTCCAAAACTGCACTAGTCCTTTTTTGAACAGCCTGTACTGATGTAATTGGTCCCATGTTGATTTTTCTAAAGTAAAATAATTTTCCATTTTTTCCAACACAATTCGAAGCTCATTCGAAGATAAAAACTTATATTTAGGTATTCTATCATTTTCTTGTATGTTATCTATTGTCACTATTGAAAACCGGCGATCGTTGAATACTAGCGAGATTTTTTGGAGCTCTCTGAATATAAAGTTTTCTGAATATAGTCTGAATATAATATTACAGTATTTGCGTTTTTTCACGATTTATAAAAAAAATTGTTTTGGTAGCGCTGATTCATCCACAAGTACTACAGCATATCAGTAGGAGGTTCGGTACCACAGAGCAGGTATAAAAGGGAAAGCATAAGAGAGTAGCTGCAACTCGAGTCATTAATTATTTTTCAGGCGTTAATCCGAAATACGACAGGGTAAAACGATCCTACTATATCTCTGCACATGACATGTTTCTGATAGCCACAATTCCTTTGCTTTCTAATGAAAATATCATAACAAGGTAGAAAAATTATTTGTAAACTCAATATTTTTATTTAAATTCAAAACGAAAGGACTATTACAAAATATGCCAATCGGGTTACCTTGAGTACAGTGATTAACAAAAGGATTGAAATTGACTACCTTAGTAAAACTTGGGAAGAACAAGTTTTTGTTCTTATGTATTTTTAATCCAATACATTTTACGGAAAATATAATGGCACACAAAGAACATAAAACTTACATGAATAGATTGGTCCCGTAAATCTAAATAAATCTCGTTTATTGTCTCAGCCGTTAATGGATTACGTAGAGATATTGTATATTAAAATTAAACACCACATAGACATTAAAATAACAAATATCTTATTTTTTTCGTGCCTTTCATTGCATGTTATCGAAACCATTGCAATGTTCCGTGCAAAACTGTTGTAACTCTGTTGTTTTAGAATTACAATAGTTTTGCAAGGAACTTATGTACAAAAACGCAAAATGGTTAAACTGTTCTTGTTGTAATATTAATGTAATATATTTATTTATGTTATCAACATATTTTTTTAGTATGTTGTTATTTTTTAGGTGGGCATCTTATCGTTTGGATCCGACCAATGTGGCAGAGGAGGTGTTCCCAGTGTGTATACCAATATAAAGAAGTATATTACGTGGATCAGGGAAAACACACCACAAGTTTTTGAATAACAACAATTTATTCATTAAGTATTTTAGTGTAATTTTTATTAAAATAAATTATTGTACAGAATAAAAAATATAAAATATTTTTAATAAAATCTTTTAAATAAATGTTAGATATTGCTTCTATTAGGTACTGATCAACTGTGTTAAGTGTGCTAACCTCCGATTTGACACAGTCAGACATATTATATATTATGTACATTAATCTTTCGTGTGGAATTCTCTTTATGTGGCCGCACAAGGACAGTTTCTTCGCTTCCATCCTGCTTATTTTGGGAGCATAATAATATTGTCCATCGAAATAGAGTAGATATTAAAAAATCTATAAATAAATTTAAGTCACAGCCAACTTTATTATTTACAGATACCAATGATGTAGATTACCGACAATGGTAGAGTTACCTACCTATAGTTATAAAAAGTAATGTAACTTATAAATCAGATATTTGTAGAACTTAATCAAGTAAAGCTGTTAAACCAGTCTGAAGACTGAATTGTAAAGTACATATAAAAGTAAGTAAAATAAGTAAACTAGAAAAGTACTTTGTCTGAATATCTGATACAGTAAAATGTCAATTATACATTCTTGTAGCTTGTGTGTCCAATTCATCGTTATAAAGAAACTACTTTAATATAAAAATTTGCAGATCCAATTGAGTGATATGAATTTTTTTTTGAGAACACTTGTGAATAAAATAGTAATTCTAAAAGCATATTTAATAATAAAGGTTGCAATTTCCGTTGCCTAAAACAGAATTTAAGATAGTAATTGGATTGTTTATTATTTTTTGTTCAAATATTTAAAAAACATTCGGTAACATTTTAAACCCTAAACATTAATTAACGAGATTTGTATTACGATTCTAGTGGTTTGAATGTTAAAAACATAAATGGGTTTATGTTTGCTTCTGCAAACATGTTAAAATGAACTAAATAGATAAATCACACTAACGCACCGCGATAAAGTCAAAATATTGTATTTTTATAATGTTTAACCATTTGTAGCCCAAATTAGTATTTCAAACTTAATTTTACACAAATCTATTTATTTTTTTTTATTGGGTTAATGCCTCGACAACTATGATCATTGGCATGGTACAGTCAGGTACCTAGTGTAGTGTGTGTGTGTGTGTGTGTGTGTGTGTGTGTGTGTGTGTGTGTGTGTGTGTGTGTGTGTGTGTGTGTGTAGAGTAATTGTCTTGATACTTAGCAAAGTCGACGTCATTGTCTTTGCTAAGAGACGCTAATTGTATCCGAACGTCTGCGGCCCCTCCGGTAAGTACCGATTGCACAAGGAAAGAAATTATGTTCATTCATTAATTTTTAATAAAAGAAAATTTCTCCACCCAGATGAGATTCAAACTCACGACCTTTAGGTTTAAAGGTAGGCGCTCTTACCACTGAGCCACAGAGGGGATTTACAAATTTATTAAAAACTATTAGAACGTCCAATAAAAAAACATTACATATATACATTTTGGTTTCTCACATACCAGATGAAACAAACGAAACAGTTTTTTTGGTAGTCCCAAGTTACATGTGAAATACTACTATTTACTTATGTATGGTTATTTTGTAAAGTTGCAATATGTTGTTTCATTCATGCAACCTACTGTGGCTTTGTTTGATGAACGTGATTTTCCACTTCTATTGCGAGCTTTCCTTAGCTAGATAATGTGATGCCTAGAGATTTAAACTCAATCAGTTGTTTTTATTTTATTACCTTCTAGCTCCAATTTACATCTTAGTAAATATGCTGTTTTAACCATGCATTTTGTTTTTTTTTTTAATTAACATGCTGAATTTTATTACAGTTAAATTAAATTGGTGTAGCATACGTGGTAAATCGTCTTTACTCTGAGAGACTAGCAGTGCGTCGGTCGTCTACATATCAGGTTATTTTAAACTGTTTTTCTCCCATTTAGTATCCTTTTTTAGTTCGTAGTTTTTTTATTATTTCACCCATAATCAAGTGAAGCAATAGAGGACTCAGGGAATCTCGTCGTACTATCCCATTATCAGCTTTAATAGGGTCAGTTAGTTCTTCTTCTAATTTTACTTTTATTGTGTTAGTTTGTTAGATATTTTAGATCATTTTGATTATTATTGCTAAATTACTTTGAAAGGTTATTTCGTCAATTATAACTTCTGGAAACAAATACATAAAGAATACAGCAGTTATGACAATATTATCATCAATATTGAAGGCTTCTATGGTATTAGTAAATTTTACAATGAATTCAGTAGTAATATTTCTATTCCAAGAAGTGTCACAAAAGTACAATAGAGGACGTCCGAAGTGCGGACGATCATAATTACAAGTCTCTGAATGAACTTGGATAATTTTGTTACTGTTAACCAAGATATTTTTATTATTGAAATGATAAAATGTTTCTTTGTTTCCCATAATCAATACTATTTATCAGTATCTGCTTAAAGCTCATAGACTCTACATCTACATGCTTCCTACTTTTGCCACTCTCTATTCGTCCGTTCTTTTGAGCCTTAATTTGTAATAAATTTGAGCCTTTTTTGAAGTTTTATACATAAGTATATTTTCCTTATTTATTATCTTTTATCGCTACACTATAATAGACACACTTTTATTTATCTATTTATCACGTTTATTTTGAGTTTAATTTTCATTTAATTTTTGGTAAAAATCAAAACCGATTAAACTTGAAATTTTATTTATTCTAGTAAATATTAACAAGTCATTTCATTATTCAATTGGAAAACTAAATGGAGAAAGTATGACAATAAGTTAGCAAGATTTTGTATTGGCAGAAATTTAATTATTTTTCAACAACAAATATTTCAGTTTTAATCTTTATAAAGGTTTTATGAAATTAAACCAATTATGTTGGTCATCTTTCATAATTTCATCTAAAATTAAGACTTTAAGACTATATTTGTTGTAGATAAAGACATTCCAAGCTGTTTAGGACAATAAATAACTATAAAACTTTTTTTGTATTTGATTTAAAACTGAAATATTAGTTTAGTTAGACTAGTTAAATCCTAATTATTTTTACGACTATTTTTTACAAATTATGCTATTATTCAATGTCTAAAAAAAAAAATAATGATCAATAGCTACAAAATAGATACAAACAAATTGTTAAAAAAATGGCAACCCAGAAGACTTATAAATTAAGTACATGGAACTGATATATATATAAAAGTAAATTTAACTTTTTGTGAACAGATACAAAAAGAATATAAATTAGTTCGGAAAGATTGAATTAATTAAATTTATACTAAGTTGGACACAGCTTAAATTGGGATTTTTAATAGGTGATGTTAAAATGTCTAATAAAATTTTAGTCTATATTCCACCGAATCTAGAAATTGTAAATTTAGTGAAATATCCGAAATTCTTACTTAAATATCGCAACACTAATTTTGATCACCTAAAAATATTCAAATAGCATAAAATAACATAAGGTTAACAATAATACTGATAATTTTAAATAATGGTGATTAGAGTACAATTATTTTTGAAGTTCTATTACAAATTTTTCCACATTCAGATGGATCGGTTTTTGATATGAAAACTTTCTCTTTTAAATCAATACTTTTTTACATTCAAATCACCTTTGTGTAAAGAGTTTAATGACAGAGACATATAAGTTGTATGGATAATCAAAATTTTGATTTTAAAAATAATTAATCAAATCCTATAAATGGAATATTCCTAAAAATATTTGTTTACAATTTAGCTTGATGGAGAATATTTATTATGTAATAAAAATGGTACCTAGTGACATCAAATATTGACATAATTGTAGTCTGTAGTAAAATGCCTGCATAGTTTTGTCCAAAATTAGTAATTACAACACTATCTATGAAATTAAACTAAACCAAAACTCGAGCTTAGAAGGCATGAATGCTAGTACCCTTTGGCAAAAAGTGCTTGATCAGTTAATACCATGACGTGTTTTGATTGTAAACATTGTAGAGTAAGCAGTTGCGGTCTGATCACTTTAAACAGAACTAAGGACACTTTTATATCTATGTTTTTGTCACGAATCTGGATTTTCAATGCCAATTTAAACACTTTTGGGAGTATAAAGAAACACTAAACAAGTACCATCAGTGATAATCTGGCTCAGATGAACTAACACAGATGCAGGAGTATTACGCTTGCTCATTGTGAAAGTAAACAAACGTTAATTTTCAACTCTACAGCACAAAACAAAAAACTAAAATTAAGAATAGGAATATTCTCAAAGTAACATAAATTTGGTTTTGCAGCTACCAATAAAAATAGTACTAATCTAGTTTTATATTTGATAGGTATGCTAGCCAAATTAAAGAAATTATGTTATCTTAAATCAAATTAGTTGAAATTTCAAAGTAAACCAGCAAAAAAATATGAATAAAACGGAGCTCCGTTTGGCAGCATAAGTTGCATTATTAGATAAAATTGTTGAAGCGTTATATGAACTTTTACTGTTTGTTTTAAATGTCCAGTTCAAATTGATAAATTTTTTCTATCAAGAAAAAAGCGTTCTAAATGACCATATCAGCTAAATATAAGAGATCGTGATCAGTACAAAGTTTCTGCAACAGATGACAATTAATTAGTTGTGTTAAATCTTAAATGTCCAGACTCGCAAATAAGTGAGAGTCCTTCACATAGGGTAAGGAAGATAGCTACCTTACTAAAGTTTCTATTGGGGATTAGGATGGCAAGGAATAACTTATTTCCATGTGACAAACTTTCTGGTGCATCTTACAGATGTGTTAATCTGATCAGAAAAATTGTTCTCTGTGTTAGTTGTCGTGAGATAGATTCGTAATGGTGAAGTAAACGTGGGGAATCTGTATTTTGTTACTCTCATTCAACATCTTTAGTTACTTTTCTTCGGATATATATGAAGTGATACCTGTAGGTAGAGCGTACGCATGTGGGTCTCAAACATCAACTAATAATTTTTGTTGATTTATATGTACCTTATTTTAGGTTTATAAATTTGTGAATAATATTGTTTCTGGTCGTCAGTTTGCCTTTTAGTTTTAAGCAACATTCTTCGATTGACAACGTGTGATCCAAAGTAACTCTCAGGTATATAGTAGAAACACAACATTTAAGAGT